CTCCTCTCTTTACTGCTGATTGGTCCATTGCTGTTCCCATGAGAGAGGGGGGAAGAGAGTCCTCACATACTGTCCTGCCTTGTGGTTACACTCTGAATTGCTGACAGGAGGAGGGGGGGGGGGGGGCAGAGACCCAGCTACAAATGTAATGTTTTACACTTCCCTAGACTTGGCAGAAGAGGTTGCTTTCTGCTACAGTAGATTTGCAAATGAAAGCTTTGCTGCAGCTGTGTTACTGGCCATTTTCTTTTATTCTGTTGCAGTCTTCTTTCTGTTGCTGTATCTTGCACTTCTTTTGCTGTAGCTGGTTATGACTGGGCTACTGGGCCCATAACACTTTTAGAGTTTCATGTGCACTGTCTGTTTTGTAGGACTCTATACAGAATTCAGACCACAAAAAAAGTTGAAAATAATGGTAATAACAAATACAAAGTAAATATAGCACCACATTGTTGTAGTACTCTTTTTTTTTAAGTGCTTCCGCGCCGCCCTATAGCAAAAAATATTACTACAGGGTATCACAGGTGCGCAAAATCATGTATATACAGTTGTGTTCAAAATAATAGCAGTCAGACATCACTAACCTGATCAATCACTGTTTTTGTTAGAAATGATATTTCTACATGGCAAATAATTTACTAGCAGGTATAGTAGAGTAATAGAAATCCAACAGACTCAACAGTCATGGCATGCATGCTGCTGATTCTGTGCAATTGAATCACTAATTGAAAGGGGCATGTTCAAAATAATAGCAGTGTGGAGTTCTATTAGTGAGGTCATTCATTCTATGAAAAAAACAGGTGGAAATTATTGCCCTTATTTAAGGAAGGAAGGCAGCAAATGTTGTACATGCTGGTTACAGTGCATTTCTCTCTGAAATTCTGAGGAAAATGGGTCGTTCCAGACATTGTTCAGAAGAACTGCGTACCTTGATTAAAAAGTTGATTGGAGAGGGGAAAACATATAAAGAAGTACAGAAAATGATAGGCTGATCAACTAAAATGATCGCAAATGCTTTAAAATGGCAACCAAAACCTGAAAGACGTGGAAGAAAGCGAAAAACTACCATTCGAATGGATAGAAGAATAGCCAAAATGGCAAGGACTCAGCCAACAATCACCTCCAGGAAGATCAAAGAAGGCCTAAAGTTACCTGTGAGTACTGTTACAATTAGAAGACGCCTATGTGAAGCCAAGCTATCTGCAAGAAGCCCCCGCAAAGTCCCACTGTTGAAAAAAAGACATGTGCTGAAGAGGTTACAATTTGCCAAGGGCACATTGACTGGCCTAAAGAGAAATGGCGCAACATTTTGTGGACTGATGAAAGTAAGATTGTTCTTTTTGGGTCTAGTGGTCGGAGACAGTTTGTCAGACGACCCCCAAACATTGAATTCAAGTCACAGTACACTGTGAAGACAGTGAAGCATGGTTGCGCAAGCATCATGATATGGGGATGTTTCTCATACTACGGTGTTGGGCCTATTTATCGCATACCAGGGATCATGGATCAGTTTGAATACATCAGAATACTTGAAGAGGTCATGCTGCCTTATGCTGAAGAGGAAATGCCCGTGAAATGGGTGTTCCAACAAGACAACGACCCCAAACACACCAGTAAATGTGCAACATCTTGGTTTCAGACCAACAAGATTGACGTTATGGAGTGGCCAGCCCAATCCCCGGATCTTAATCCAATAGAAAACTTGTGGGGTGACATCAAAAATGCAGTTTCTGAGGCAAAACCAAGAAATAGAGAAGAACTGTGGAATGTAGTCCAGTCATCCTGGGCTGGAATACCTTTTCACAGGTGCCAGAAGTTGACTCCATGCAACACAGATGTACAGCAGTTCTCAGAAACAGTGCTTATACAACTAAATATTCATTAAGTGATTCACAGGAAAGCAAAACCTTCAAACATTTTTCAGTTTATATAGTGAATGTTGTTTGAGTTTGTAAAGAATACAAACACTGCTATTTTTTTGAACAGTCTAATATCACTTTTCTTCCATTTTTTTAGAGGAACAACACAAATTTGATATATTTTTCTTCATGTTTTGATTTGGAATAGAATGTGTAGTGTTTCCAATGCATTTGTGTGTATGAAAATAAAAGCTTTTAGAAGGATTTTGAGCTTTATTCACTTTTTTCAACACACTGCTATTATTTTGAACACAACTGTATACGTGCTTTTGCCATTCCGGGTAGGGGATGGCCTCTGCTGTCAATCACCGGGTCCCAGCCGGTGATTCCCTGCCAGCACCCGGCAATCTCCCAGGATTTCTGACGGGGTAGAGACCTGTATGTAAACAATACAGATCTGTCCCCTGTCAGCTCCTGTGCACTGCTTTGTATGGCTCTGCATAGCATAGCAGAATACATGTTGCCCTAAATTTATGACATTTGATTTTTTTGACAAAAAGTCAAAAATATTGTTTTTTTTTTAAATTGTAGGGTTTTTTTTGTTCATAGCGCAAAAAATAAAATGCGCAGACGATCAAATTCCAACGAAAGAAAGCTCTATTTGTGGGGAAAAGGACATAAATTTAATTTGGGTTCAGCGTTGCATGACTGCGCAATTGTCTGTTAAAGTAACAGCGCCCCAACGCCAAAAAATGGCCTAGTCAGGAAGGGGTGTAAATCCTTTGGAGGGCAAGTGGTTAATCTATTAGAAGTGACAATTCTTAAATGAAGATTTGTTACTTCTGTTGGCTTAATAAAAAGAAAAGTGCTGCAATGACCTGGTGTTACTTTAAATATGGGAACTGTGGACAGGTTCCAGTTACCGGCACCAGTATCTAAAACAGCAGATGGGCATTACACGATTTATTGAACTTATATATACCTTAAAGTGATTGTAAAGGTAATTTTTTTTTTTCTTGTTTTGTTTTTTTAGTTTTTAATAACAAACAGGTGATACTTACCTGCTCTGTGCTTTGGTTTTGCACAGAGCGACCCTGAACTTCCTCTTCTGGGGTTACCTGCTGATGCGTCAGGCTCCTCCTCTTCTCTGATTGCCCCATAGCAAGTTATTTGCTATGGGGGCACTTGGATGGGATCAATCCTGAGCTGGGCTGCATGTGTCCAGTGAGTAGGGATAAAGAGACAGTTTTGAGTGCTGCTGCTCTTGGGCAAAGCGCTGGATCGAGATCGAACTCAGGTAAGTGATAGGGGGGCTAACAATGGACCTTTTTACCTTAATGAATAGAATGTAGTAAGGTAGAAAAACCTTAAGCCTTTAGAGCCTCTATAACTGTACTGATTATATATATATATATATATATATATATATATATAGTAGTTTTTTGCATTTATCCATGGTACCAAGCGGCTGGGAAAATAGGGCTGCAGCACTACGTTCAGTAAATACATTGTGTTGCGCATTCACGAATCGAGATTAACTGCACTTTAGTTGAGAAAAAAAACAATCCTCTCATGTACATTGCAAGGATTTTCATAAATTGTGTTGCTTTGCATATTTCTACCTGTTTCTGCTACATAGTTACCGTACATAGTAATTCTGGTTGAAAAAAGACAAAAGTCCATCTAGTTCAACCATTAAAATAAAAAAGAGTTATAATCATATACCCACAGTTGATCCAGAGGAAGACAAGCAAAAAGCCCAGCAAAGCATGATCCTATTTGCTCCAGCAGGGAAAAAATTCCTTCCTGATCCCCCAGAGGAAATCGGATATTCCCTGGATCAACTTTACCTATAAATGTTAGTAATGTAATGCTGCTCTGAAGAAAAAGCTGTTTGTTTGTCTATAGCGATGTGCAGAATGAATCTGAATGGAAGTTACTTTTTTATTATAATGTCAGCATCCCTTTAGAGGTACTTAACCCATCTAGGAGTATCTCACCTAAAAAAATTTTTTTCTTTTTTATGAAGAGAATGCCTAAAATCTGATGTGTATCTTAATGCAGACTTCTGTGAAATCAATGAGCCAATCACACAAGCAGGAAATGACATTTCTAGGGGGTGTTCCATACACCAACTGTGCACAGAACACCTCAAAGTAGCCATATTGCATTGAATTTTACAAAATTTACAGTGCTGCAGATTGAAAAGGAACGGTAATTATTTATCACATTCTATTACAATACAGCTTGTGTACCAAATGTATATGCTATATTTTTTTTTATTGTTATTATTTCCCATAAAAGTGGAGTTACCAGGCTCCTCCTCTTCTCTGAGTGCCCTCATAGCAAGCCGCTTGCTTTGGGGCATTTGTGTGAACTTGATCTCAAGCCGGGTTGCATGGGTCTATTGACACACACAGTGCAGCTCGGCCTGTGCCCTCCTCACTGGATTTGAATGACAGCAGCAGGAGCCAATGGCTCCTTCAGCTGATGCCTCCATGTCTAGTAAGGAGAGAGAGAGAGAGAGAGATAGAGAGAGACTGACTGTAGTGATTAAACATACAGTATACATATTAAGAATGTTACCAAAATATGCAAAGTGAATAAGAACTCAATTCCTGATTTTCAGCAAATAATTACATGCAACATGTTTTAATGTTGTCTACTTCAGAGTTACTTTAGCTATAGGATGCCATTGGCTGTGAAATTTACTTTATCCTCTGACAATAAGCCGAACTGTACTTTAGCTAATGGCTTGCGTGTCTAAGATTTTCCTACAAGCTGCATATTGTGCAGAAAAAACAGCATCAGGGCTTTCAGAAAATGCAGATATTTACATATTAGTCATAGATCCACTTATCATCCCCTAAATAGGACAGTGATAAACTGATTGCAGAAAGTACCAGTAAGTCAGGACATGAGTCCATTTCCCAGATTAAAAACAGTATCGAATTCCTGGAAAAAGTACTAAATTAAGACATATCGCTATATTTATCAGACAGTAAAATCTATCTATTTTGTACTAATAACACAATATTAATATACAGATTACATAGTAGCATAATTAAACATAAAATAGGAACACTTTCATACCTCAAGATCAAAAAATATCACCCCATATAACCCATAACAGTGCCATGGAATCCTAGTGAGTGTAGACTTGTCCAGGGGAGGACTGATCATTCGAGCACTCGGGCACTGCCCGAGGGCCCAGGGCCAGTAGGGGGCCCCATGAGATGCCCCTGGTACCTTTCATTGGCTTTTTCATAGGCTTTTTTGGGTGTTGGCATGGACACAGGGGCCCCATGATCCCCTATTGCCCGGGGGCCCCATGAGTTGTCAGTACGCCCCTGGACTTGTCCATACTTTGGTCAAAACTATAGTCAGAGTTGTTTCCTATCAGGAATATGCATTTTTTCCATACCAACAGCCACATATTTGTATATATTTGCATATATCAGTAATTATAATCTTTCTTTCAGACTTCACTTCATTGAAAGTTGAAGACTGGCAAATATAAAAACATCCTTCAGCCCAATTAAGCATTCACTAAATAAAAAATACATTTATTCTCTAACTACTGCTAACCTAAGTAGAAAAAGTAAAAATAAAATGTGACTGCATAATAATTTTTCCAAACAGCAAAGAGAAGTGAAATAATCAACGTGCTAAACCAGGCTGCATTACACTAATGAGTGTTGTCAGTCTAAACTTGCTTGGGATATTGGTGACAAGAGGATGGCACAGGGATGACCTCATTTATGTGCTTCTGCTCCTTTCTTGTCACTCACAGCAACCTTCCCTTTAGCCTCCAACTCTCACACTAAAGACTCTATACCTCAACCCTAAAACTAACCCTTAACTAAACTCACCCTTAAAGTAGAACTATAGGCAAAAGTTTTTTTTTATTTAATTTTGGATAGAGTAAGGGAGGGTTATAACCCCTGTCAGATTTTTTTTTTTCGCCATCTGTGTCTCATTGGGAAGATTTTCCTTCACTTCCTGTCCCATAGCCAAATATGAAGTGGAAGGAAATCCCTGAAAATGAAGAGAATTCCATGGGGACCCCCAGATCACAAGAACTAGTTTCCCAATTGGAAGATTCCCCCTCTATTACTGTTCTGGAGACATCCCAAAATTTGGAATTTTCTTTTACTTTCTATTTCAGTGATAATGGTAAGCAGGACAAATAGAGAGGGTGAATCTCCCTAACGGAGGCACAGACAACAACAAAGACTTTCAGGTGTTCTAATCCCTCTCCACTTTATCCAAAACTAAAAAAAAATTGCCTTTAGTTATACTTTATTATTAACTCAACCGATTATCTGTATACATAATCAGGATCCTCTGCACTGCACTAACCCTTATGCACTTCAAGATACAGCTGGAATACTATTGCCACAGCTTATAGCTCTGAGAAAGTATTTCCTGAATCCTGAGCTGTGTAGCTTTTGTTCTCTCTTTATTGATCAACAGTTTATCAACAATTAGGTACTGTGGTAAACTGATATACTATTAGGTTCCATGCACAGTAAGTGTGAAGTCATCAACCGGCGCATGCTTAGTTGATGACATCACAAGATGGTGGGGTCTACCTGTGATGTCATGTGTTGGCCCCACCCCTTATAGACCCCACCCCCTCCGTCATTGACTAAGCATGCCCTGGTTGATGACTTCACAAAGGGGTGAGGTCACCCAGTGATGTCACCAAGCGGCATTGCCCCTTCTTTTATATAGTGGCAGGAGGAGGCAGAGCTGTCAGATGGTGGGAGCCAGCGTTGAGTTCAGACCCTTTTTTTTTTTTTTTTCCAGGTTGGCGGCGGATTGTGAAGTGGAAGGAAAATGATACATGGTTTTCAAAACTTTTTACAAATAAATGTCTGAAAAGTGTGGTGTGCATTTATATTCAGCCCCCTTTACTCTGATACGCCTAACTAAAATCTGGTAGAAACAACTGCCTCCAAAAGTCAACTAAGTAGTAAATAGAGTCCACCTGTGTGTAATTTAATCTTAGTATAAATACAGCTGTTCTGTGAAGCCCTCAGAGGTTTGTTAGAGAACATCAATGAACAAACAGCATCATGAAGGCATCATCAAGGAACACACCAGACAGGTCAGGGATGAAGTTGTGGATAAATTTAAAGCAGGGTTAGGTTATAAAAAAATATCCCATGGATATGAACATCTCACGGAGCACTGTTCAACACTGTTCAATCCATCATCCAAAAGTGGAAAGAGTATAGCACAACTGCAAATCTACCAAGACATGGACGTCTGCATAAACTGACAGGCCGGGCAAGGAGAGCACTAATCAGAGAAGCAGCCAAGAGGCCCATGGTAACTCTGGAGGAGCTGCAGAGATTCACAGCTCAGGTGGGAGAATCTGTCCACAAGACAACTATTAGTTGTGCACTCCACAAACCTGCTCTTTATGGAAGAGTGACAAGAAGTAAGCCATTGTTGAAAGAAAGCCAGAAGAATTCCCATTTGCAGTGTGCAAGAAGCCATGTGGGGGACAAAGAAAACATGTGGAAGAAGGTGCTCTGGTCAGATGAGACCAAAATTGAACTTTTTGGGCCTAAAAGCAAAACGCTATGTGTAGTGGAAAACCAACACTGCACATCACCATGAACACACCATCATGTTATGGGATGCTTTTCTTCAGCAGGGACTGGGATGCTGGTCAGAGTTGATGGGAAAATGGATGGAGCCAAATACAGGGCAATCTTAGAAGAAAACCTGTTAGAGTCAGCAAAAGACTTGAGACTGGAGCGGAGGTTCACCTTCCAGCAGGACAACAACATTAAACATACAGCTAGAACTACAATGGAGTGGTTTAGATCAAAGCATATTCAGGTGTTAGAATGGCACAGTCAAAGTCCAAACCTAAATCTAATTGAGAATCTGTGTTCACAGATGCTCTCCATCCAATCTGACAGAGCTTGAGCTTTTTTGCAAAGAAGAATGGGCAAAAATGTCACTCTCTAGATGCGCAAAGCTGGTAGAGACATACCCAAAAAAGATATGCAGCTGTAATTGCAGCGAAAGGTGGTTCTAAAAAAAGTATTGAGGGGGGCTGAATACAAATCTAAGCCACACACTTTTCACATATTTATTTGCAAAACATTTTGAAAACCATTTATCATTTTCCTTCCACATCACAATTATGTACTACTTTGTGTGGGTTTATCACATAAAATTGCAATAAAATACATTTACGTTTTTGATTGTAACATGACAATATGTGGAAAATTTCAAGGGGTATGAATACTTTTTCAAGGCACTGTATAAGCTAAAGTGCATGGAATCTTACAATGCCAGGATTGAAAAACAAATGCTTGAATATTGATTAAACAGGCCGTGTTCCTGATATTCAACTCAAGGTTTCATTTTTTTGTTTTTCATGCTTGAGGTGATTGTAGCCGTATTAGTGCATTTGCGACAGAAACAATTGAGTACTGTCTGTGATACTTTTTTTATTTGCACTAACATACAATTTTGAGGACAAGCTTTCGGGGTATGTCCCCTTCTTCAAGGTCTAAGCAGTACCAGTACTGCTTAGACCTTGAAGAAGGGGACATACCCCGAAAGCTTGTCCTCAAAATTGTATGTTAGTGCAAATAAAAAAAGTATCACAGACAGTACTCAATTGTTTCTGTTTGTTTTTCATAGAAGCATACCTTTAAGAGCAAACTTTAAGGGACTTTGACTGCATAATCTGAGAGTAGAGTTTAATGCATTCGATACATTCCAAACTTTTAACAAATTGCTTTACTTATCTCCAGTGTCTTCTTATTGAAAAGCTACATATGGCATTCAAAAAAATAATAATATCATAATATATGTGTGTAATACAATGTATTATTGAAGACATTTTCATTGTGAACAATTTTCTCCTGTGCAAACAATCCTTCACTTAAAAGGAGGGCTTTGCTATATGGCTGTAGAAAAGCACAGCAGGGAAACACTCAGATATTATACAAAGCAACATTTTCATTTTAATTCTATTGGAGGAGACATCCCACAGTGTCATGAATATGATATTCAAGGTCTATGGTGTACCTGAAGTGAGTGTTCCAGCTTTAATGATGGAGAAGACATAACATATTGCAAACCAATGGAAATGGAAAGTTGTTCAGTTATAGAAAATTACTTACAATAGCAACATTTAACCTTTAAAAAAGTTTTGGAATAATCATCTAAGAAAAGATAACAGAGTAATTTTCAACATTATGTTTGAAAATATAGTTTTTTTTCTTTCTGTACTGACTTATGCACTATATGTGTATGTTTTTCTCAGAAGCTAACATTTGAAGATTTGGGCCCAGAGGAAATGTAAAAATTGCTTTGTTCAGAACTAAATATTTAAAATGTAAAAAATATATTTGGGTTCTATTTAGTTAGGTAAATATGAACTATTGAATATGAATATTTTATATTTGCTCCTGACAGGTGTTGTCTTTAAAATGGAATTCTAGGCTAAATCCTACAGTATCTAATCTTAAAAATGCTCACTCATCCTAAAACATATGAGGTATAAATTTATTTAATTTCAGGCTTCTCCAGTCAAGTAATCTGGCTCTCCTGTGCCAGCCAGCGGTGGCTGCAGGGGAGACGAGAGAGCCATGACACTGGATGGGCCATCGGAGCCTATGGGTGACATTACCTCTTCCAGGTCTTCTAGCCATTGTTGACCACTCAGAAGATCATATGACCAGCCCGAACCAGCCTGAAAATATGTAAGTATATACAGCCTTCTTACACAGGTTAGTCAGCTTACATCAGTTTGCATTTAGCTTGGAATTCGAAATAAAAAACATCCAAGAGGCTCTGGGACTTTGATGTGAGTTCAAACAAAAAAGTGAGAGGACACAAATATTCATAGAGCTCATTGACTTAGGTCAGGCTGCTCAAAACAGACAGGGCTACCTTCGAATGGGTACCCAGCAAGTTACCACAAAAAACATGCACCAATGGAAGGATCCCCAGACCAAATGATACATTAAATTATTGATTTAATGGATCTTGATTGCTCAGGCAGATGCTGGTGGCTAGTAATCCTCCTAGACCAGAAATTAGCTTCCCTACATAGATTCACACAGGAAAATTTACCGTTCTTATTTTAATTGAAGCCCTGATTAAGGAAGGGTTTTTTATGGTCTCCAAAATGCATGGGATATTTTAAAGTGTAAAATAATAAGTAATTTGAACTCTTATTATTCGGTTTGGCTCTCCTCCATTGGTGCAGGTGGTGTTTTTAAAGTAGTATACAGTCACTTCTATGTAATATTTGTTATTCTATGAGAAGCTTTTAGTTTGAGCTCCTATTGTTCATGTATATGTATACAACATACACAGCTGAATGAGGCAAATTAGGAAAGACAGCAACCTCCCACCAGGACAAATAGAAAAAGTTAATCTCCCTTTTGGGGACAAAGACAGCAATAAAAGCATGACAAGGGGTTCTACCCAATCACCACCAATTTTAAAATTTCTAATTTAGGGGTTTAGAAATAAAAATATAAATTGAAATATGTATAAACAATGATTTTGCTTTAAAAACCATGCATTTTAATTAT